ACATTCTTAGAGATAATTTCAACACTCTGGACAGGACGCTCATCAGACAAAGACAGAAAGATAAAAGCGAATGGAAAGAAATAACCAAAACAAAGTGTCTGCTCGTAATAGACAGCTGACCTCCAAAAAAAACAAAAGCATGTTTTGACCAAAGTCAGCTTCGACCATCCGATGAACCTGTCTCTATGACCTCTCTGTGCTGAACGAGGTCATTGATCAAGACACGTTGACGACAGGTGCTCCCGTCAACTATATCAGACAAGCAGATCATTCAAGAATCAGATATAACTCGTACTGCTGGCAATTGTCACATGTCTAAGTAATCGCTATTATGCTCACATAAAGAAGCAACGGGGTCTCTTGATAGAAAAAGGAAAGAAGATGTTTAAAAAGGGAATAATGACGTGACAAGTGTTCCAATACTCATACAGGCGAATCATCATTCGGCTGCCGGTCCCGCCCCCTATCCTGGGACCCGTCGCGTCCGTCATTGCCTCCACTACCACCAATATCCCTCTCCCCTTCCCCTTGCCCCGTCGTCGGCGGAGGCTCGTCTCGGAATGCAGGCCACACACTGCCGCTCCCGCTGCTACCCGGTGGATTGCTCGCGCCGTCGTCTCCTCTGTCAGGTCGCCACCACTTGAGCTTCCATATGCCGCCCAACGCCTCTTGTAGTGTGGGCTGACTGCTGCTCTGACTCTTGCGCCGACGGCGGGCCGTGAAGCCCGGAAATCCCGTGGATTTACGTCGCCTCCTACCCGGGCCGGGCCGGCGTGACGAAAGGGACTCGGAGCTGGGTCCCGCTTCTGAGGACGAAAAGAGAGGATTACCGCTACCGCTACTTACGCCACGGCGGTGCGGTAATAGAGAGGTAGATTCGGTGAGCTCGCCAGGCATAGTGCTGGAGCGCCGGCGCGAGATGGGCGGGCTGGACGTGTCGCGGTCTTCGAGCTCGCCCCAAATTTCGGCGCGCTCTTGCCATCTCCTGCCCGTCTTCTTCCGCTTCGGTGTCGGTGTCAGCGGCGTTGTCTCGCCACTGGCCACGTTAAATGTTGAGTAGGTTGTAGCTGGTAATGGGTCATCTTCTTCGTGGAGGCTGTAAAGATCATCGCCGCCCAGAAGGGACTCTTCTTCATCTTCTGTGTCCTCCACGAGGCCAAGTCCTGGTGCCAAGGATGACTGGCCCACGCCCGGCGTGTGCTGTTCGTCGCTGAGTCGCCATGACAATGCCAGCACACCGGCAAGTAGGATGACTGTCCCCAGTGCAATGAGACATGCTCGTAAGGGGTTGATCTGGTCCGTCTGCTTAAAGTATATCAAACCGTCCAGGATCGCAATGATGTTGTAGATGCAGAAAACCATGGGGTATAAAACCGAGGTCGAGACGAGCTTCAGGCCACGGTGTAGGTAGTATAATTGACTCAAAGCCAGGGTGACCAGCGCCAGCACGAGGACCCACGCCTGCCAGTGAATAAACTGGTTATTGCCGTCCGCGATCGTCTTAATGATCAGCTCAACAGCCGACTTGGCAACCAACAGCGAATGCGCCGAGAGGATACCACTTATGGCTCCGTAGGCGAGGCCGCGGACGAAGCGGAATCTCGAGTTGAGTGACAGGCTCGTGAAGTGGTCGAGGCAGTCCACACTGATGGCTATTGATAGGACGAGGAAGGCCTGCATGATCATCCATGCCACAAAAGGCTTCCGACCGAGGAGCTCGAGCAGCTCCTGGAGGTTGTGTGCAGGCGCGGGAATGGCACCAAAGATGGCGATCAGCACGGCGCCGGTGCAGACGAGCAGTGTGCCCCATAGCGACCACCTCGTGAAGGGTTCGTTAAGTATAAGGGTAGCGCATATCGAGTTGAAGACGAGGCCAGAGGCCTGCAGGGTTGAGAGTACAGGGAGAGGAAGGGTCGAGATCTGGACGGAGCTACCGAGCAGGTTTGCGGCGATGAACATTCCCATCCCCAGCTGCCATTTCCCTCTCCGATACGGTGGCCGACGTATTTCGTGCGGGCCCTTTTCGTCTTCGAGAATGTGTGATTTTCGTTGGAGCGTGAGACCCAGGCTTTGGACGCTCGTGGACAAGAGACCAACGATAATTCCTATCTGCGCGAGGGGCAAAATACAACGTTAGCGACGGCTTTTTGGTCGTTCAGCGAGCGACAGAGGCGCAAAAGGGAGGCAGATGCGTACGGCGATTGTCCCCCCAGGGGAGATGCCGCCGAGGGACCCCATTGCACGCGCAAGGAGCTAGCCGTCGGTCATCTGGCGGCGGTCGAAGTTGAAGCAGCGGCGGTCGGTCTCATGGATTTATTGTCGTCCGTTGTTTTCTGTATCCGCGCAGCCGTGTGTGTCGTCCCGCCGGTATCCTAGCGGCACGTTCTTAAATGTGCAGCGTCTCTTTTCGCAATAAGGACCAGATGAAATCGACTCCGGCCGCGGGACGGAGGGAGGGGGAATCGAACGCTTCGGCAGGATGGAGAGGGCGGGACAGGTACCGGTGCAAACGAGGCGTCTGCGATTTGCTTCGACGTTGAAGATTGGAGATGGTGTGGTTAGGTAAAGTTGTCCGACGGGTTGTGTCTCGCCACGCTTGCGAAAATGGTGACTTTGGTGTCGCTTCCCTCCAATAGCCGCCAAGAGAGAGCTTGCAGATGGGTTTCAAGTTCGGATGCGCGTCTAAATGGAAGCGACAAAGTCGGAACGTCAGAAGGTAGGTACTCCGTCTTCCAGGCCGGCTGTCCTCTCCGAGAAATTGCTGGTTGCGTAAACCTGACCAATGCAGCGTTATAAAATACCGAGTTTCCACATGGCCGGAGTCGGTGAACAGGTCTCTGGTGTTAGATGATGGCTCAGCTCGAAACACCAGACAGACGTACGTTCGCTATGCACCGACGCAATGGCCGCTCTCTGTTCCCATCGGTGTAGGAGAGGGTCGGGGTGGTCTGGCCAGGACGGAACTAGGAAGGGGGAGATGCCGACTGCACCAAGCAACCAAGTCACCAAGCACAAGGTACGGTCAAGCACAATAGTGCAGCAGCAGCAACCCACATCACACATCCCAGTGATCTCAAGGTAGGTACCTCGCCCGCAGCAACCACGCAGCAAGGGACTCCCGCCGCTCTCCACCTCTCCAGGTGCCGCCTGCATTGCATTATTCAGTTCAGGTACTCCGCGTCTAGCTCCTTTGCACCTTTGCCATGCGCTATTTTGGTAGGCGGTGAGGTAGCTCAGCTGGGTGCATGACTGTGGTGGGTGAGGCAGCTGTTCCTCGGGCAATCGTCACCTGACGTGACCGGATTATCTTATCGCTCCTTTCCCTTCACCTGCCCGGTTCCATGGCGGAAGGTGAGGTCTGGTGGGCCTTGGGGCTGATAGGCCTCGCCAGCCTCCGTGATGTCACAGCTTGAGAAGGAAACGTGGCTGGAGAAGTGGACAAATGCTACCAGTATCTTAGCAGCCGCACAGACCAGATGTGGCACAGGTGCAATCTGAGCCCCTTCCCGTATCGCACCCACCCAGCCAAGCAAGCAATCTGTGGCTGACGGGACGGATGGATACCTGCTATGTGGTTCCTGAAGCTGGGGGGGCCGAACGCCCAGTGATGCGCTTGCTGCGCGGCTCAGAGCACCTTAGGTAGTCGTAGTAGGCCTCGTCAAACAACAGCTTCATTCAACCACCGCAATCCGATCCCGATTCTCCCCCTCCCCCCATCGCGAGACTTCCTCCCGACGGGCTCCCCACCAGCTGCTCTCTACATCCCACGCGATATCATCATCGCCCGTCGTCCTTTCGTCTCCGATAAACCTAATTGATCCAACAAAAGTCGCTCACGCAGCCGCCCCCCCAAAAACCGCCCATCATGTCTCACCAACCGTTGACGGACGACCAAGTAAGCCCCTTCCCCGTTCACGCCTCACATCGCAAACATCGTAGGGGCTCAAACCGAATATCCCGATGTACACGAACGCACACGAGAATGAGGGGGAGATGGAGATAAGGATGGACAGACGCAGCCCGGCTAACCAGACATGGCGTGCACCAAACAGGTCGGTCAGGAGCTCCGCAAGATGACCGCCTTCATAAAGCAAGAAGCAATGGAAAAGGCCCGCGAGATCGAGATCAAGGCCAACGAAGAGTTCGCAATCGAAAAGTCCAAGCTCGTCCGGCAGGAGACGGACTCCATCGACGGCCAGTACGAGAAGAAGTTCAAGCAGGCCCAAATGTCCCAGCAAATCACCCGCTCCACCGTCTCCAACAAGACGCGGCTCAAGGTCCTCGGCGCCCGCCAGGAGCTCCTCGACAACATCTTTGAGGACGCCCGCAAGAAGCTCGCCAACGCCACCAAGGACAAGGGCAAGTACCAGGCCACTCTCAAGAACCTGATCCTCGAGGGCCTGTACGCCCTCTCCGAGCCCGAGGTCGTCGTCCGCGCACGGAAAGCCGACTTTGATGCCGTCAAGAAGGCCATCGACGAGGCCACCAAGGAGTACAAGAAGGAGGTTGGCAAGGACACCACGGCCAAGCTCGACGAGTCGGACCCCCTGTCCGCAGAGAGGTACGTGATATTCAAACGAGGATCGGGCAGACATATCACGATGACGTATCATGGTGCTAACAAACGAGGTAGCGCTGGAGGTGTTTTCGTCATCGGTGGAAAGGGCAAGATTGAAATCAACAACACATTCGAGGAGCGTCTAAACCTCCTCCAGGAGACCGGTTTGCCGGCCGTCCGAGAGACTCTGTTTGGCAAGAACCCCAACCGCAGATTCACTGACTAAACCACCACCCTTTTCCCATAAGTGCGCCTTGCAAAAACCCTGTATAGCCCTTTTTATCTCCCTTGGGGCTGGACACACTAAACGCTGCATGAAGGATTCCCCGGCGCCTACCCTGTTTCAAACTCCTTCCTGTGGTGTATCTTAGATGCTGTATGATGGTGGCCAACCCTTGGCGTATTAGGTAGTTATCGTTGCAACTACGAGTTCGTTATCATCTTAACCTATTGCCGTAACGAAAGTCTCATCCTCGCTTGAAGCTGGCTCGACGTTGGTATCTATCTCGGACGGCTTGTTCTTCCGAGAATGCACGAATCTTTGCAGAAACTCTTGTTGGCGCCTCTTCTTGGCCGACGACGGACCCTGATCTCCGAATATGCTCTGTGTCGGCGGGCGTTTGGTTCTGACCGAGTATGTCAGACGCTCTCCAACCCATTCGAGCACGCTCTTGGCCTCTGTGCGGGCCAAGTTCGCAGCTCCCGTGTCGTTGATGCCTCGCCAGATGGCCTTGAGACGTTTCGCCAGATCGTCAATGTTACTGTTGAACTCCTTTTCGTAGTCCGAGTCCTCGTTATCATGCGCGAAAGCCCCATCATCCACTGCCATGTCGAGGAGCTGGACCAGAGCCTTCAAGTTCACATAGTCAGTCTTGTTGTTGATCTTGAAGTCACTGTCCTTGACCCGGGCAATGACGAGGCGAAGGCTAATGACATCGTCGGGGTGCTCGTTTGCTAGAGCAGCGTCTCGAAGGAAGAAGGCGACTGCTAGGCGTCTGCGCAGCTCGTGCAGCTTCCGCGAAGTGACAGGCATGCAGATGAGCGGCAACATTCGCAGCGAGGTCTTGTCGAATCCATGATAAAGAGACGAGCAGGTCTCGGCGCACTACGACAGGCCATATTAGCAACAGGATCAACTTGACACCCGGGAGATATACTTACAAACTCATCCCAGGCACTATCCTCGACAGTATCGACCAAGGCTGCCAAGGCATCCTGATGGCGCGTGAGAACATCCACATTCTCGACGATCACCTTGTCAGCTGCCATGCGCAAGAGCATCTTGACAGCGTACGCAACTGTTGCATAACTAAGATGATGTGCCACATAGGAAACCCATTCCAAAAACGACTGAAGAGGTTCCCATTCGTAATCGGCGTAGATATCTCGGCTTTCTCGCACCGGTCGTAGTACCTCGTCTCCTACATGGTCCGCTGCGCCCAATCTCTTCAAGCACTCTTCGAACTTCTGAGACGTGATCAGACGCTTGACCTGTTTGCCATTGGCAGTGACAATCTTGCTGTATTCCTCCCGAAGAACACCAACTCTCTCAACAGCAACCATATCCAAGATCCAGAGATATAATTCATCCGGAAACCTGACATTCATGGCAAGATTGTTCGGCATCCCCGACATGATGTGTCGGTCTCTGGTACCAGGTTTATCGAGAAAAGACCAGGGACCCTTCGCAAATTTCTTCGGGAACGGAGGAGGTTCATCTAGGCCGTGAATGTCCTTTTTGAAAAAGTACCATCTGGTCCTCGAGGCACCGGCATCCGTTCGTTCCATGGCCCGGAGAGCCTTGTCCGCATCTTCCTCAGTCTTGACACCAGCAATCTCGATCAGCTTCTGGCGAGCTTTGCTGGGACTTTCTTCAACATCCACCATGATCTCATCCTTAGGTGCAGGCTCAGCCGGTCGTCGCGGGCTGTCGAACAGCACATCGTGCCTCCTCGAATGGGCGTCCAGCGTCTTGAAGTCGAATTTGTGCTTCGGCTGGATGGTGAGAGGTGACTTGTGAACCATCCTGGCCCGTCTCTTGGCCTTTGGCGTGCCATCAGGCCTGGGTTTGGTGGGGCCAAGCATGTCGAGATCCGGAAAGGAGTCATCGGACAAAGAACCGTCGTCGTCCTCGTCATCGGACCCTTTGATAACTGCATCCCTCGTGAGAGTCGGACGCTTGTTCGCAGTCGGCGGAGAAGATGGAAGGGCCGGGGAGCTGGGTAGACTTGGAAGTGACGGCAAGCTGTTGGGGGTTCCATCGACTTTCGGATCCCCTGATATATCGCGCTTCGGCGTGCGTTGCAGCTTACCTTTCTGCAATGAGGGTAGCTCGGGCAGATCACCGGCTGGAGGGGAACCCGTTGGGCTCTCGCTGGCTGTCTTCCTGCCTGGACTCTGACCAAAGAGCAGCCTTCGTGGGGTTGTTGGCTCCTCAGGCTCAAGAGAGACCCGAGGAGACGATGGTAGCGATGAGAAGCGGACCTTACGCGGCGAGCCGGTACTTCGACCTGACCGTAGTATTTTGGGAGTTGAAACCCCCTTCGGCGTGCCAGATCGTGACCGCTGTGATCTTTGCCGTAGTGGCGTTAGGCGAATGACACGCCGCATGGCTGGAGACAGAACTGGGGTATCTTGAAGTTCGGATAAGGATGACATGGAGGCATTGAGATCTGATGCCGTGAGGGCAGGCCGTTGGCCGGCTGATGAGTTTGCACCTTTGCCAGGAGAAATTTTGGCGATCTTGAGATTTTTGTTCTCATCGAGGTCTCTGTTTGGCGGGGGATTCTTGCTCATGACCGTTTTCACATCTCTGGCAGGAGCGCGGGTGGACAGGAGCTCCTGGGTTGCTGCCGAGGATTGAGATGCAGAATTTTGAGAGGCCTGTGAGGAGGAAACGGCAGGTGCGGCCTTCGTAACAGCGCGGCCGGCACCAAAAAAGCTTCTGATATCGCGATTCTTGTTCGCATCTGCCTGGGCGGTGTTGGCCGATTTGCGAGCCATGGCGGATGAGAGCAGGCGCCTGCAGCCTTGTGCACAAATCTGACCACGCAAGTGTCTGTCAACCCAGGCTACTAAGAACCCAGCGGGCTAAAGACGAACGTGCCTTTCAGGATGTGTGGAGAGTCGTGATAGAATATTGGTTTACATAATTCACTGAGGTCGGATACAGCTGTAGTTGGGAGGCTCGGGAGTCCGACGCGTGGGTGACGCTTTTCGCGTTGGGCGTGGTTCAAGCAGCATTTAGTGGAGACCACTTTAGGTGTCGTCTTATCTTATCAACCCTTATGTCATCAGAGCACCCCTTCGGAGAGAGGCTCTCTAGAACAATGGAACGTGTGCGGCCATTCTCGACTCCAGGAACATGGATTTCAATAAGTTCAAAGCATCAGTTTGGTAATGAGAAAGAAACTCGATGATTCATTTCCCCCCCTCATACTCTCGTTAGGACGGGATCATTCCCTTTTAACTACTGCGTTCATACTCATGGTAGAGGGGTTGGCGTCTCAAACCGCTCGCACTTGGGCAAGCGATGTATGTAGCTGCGACGTTGCTTGTTGATTTTGGTGAGATATTGAACGAACAGTCAACGGTTGACACCTAACAGCAAGCATCCGGGTACCAAAGTGGCAGTCCACGTTTTGTTGCTTCTTTTCTCTGCCAAAGCTCACCTTGGCTGCGGCACATGTGAGGCCCGGCGATGACTCGACTCGGGTTAGTGTCGGACGAACAGAGGTTCGGCAACCGTGGGGCGGCGGAGATGATTGCGACGGCGGAAGCTACGGATAACGGGAGTAAAAGGATTTCGGAGGTGCATCAAAAACGATTTGATCATTCATCACCGCGCAGGAACGCGGGCAGCGGACTGCTCAGCAGTCCACAACCCCGGGCTGTCAATGAAGAGCGGCCAAGAGGACGACCCCGACGATCCCCAGCGCGAACCGTTGGAGACCGCATCCATCCCTCGAGATTTTTTTTCGCGGTTTCAGGGGCCGAAAAGGACTCCGGAATAGGGGCCATTGTGGTCCTGGGATATCGTTGCGGTACATGACTGCTTAGTTTAGGAGTTCCTGGGCGACGTGAACAGGTAGTCGTTTGCCGTGTCCCGTCCCTCATTCCCCCTCTTTTTCTCGCACATCCACGATAGCCAGTAAAGATCCTGGCCCTGCAGACAGTCCTTGGCCACGCTGCCCAGACGCTTGGAGCACGCTCGAAAACTTGCTGAGTTTGTCATCAGACCAAAAGTTGCTCAGGGAACCCATCTGTAAAGGTAGTGGTCCGGGTCAAAGGTGCATCGTTGAACCTGTTCCAGGACCTTGGGCCGCGATCAAAGCGATCATCCTAGAAGGTTAAATCAGCCTGCGTCCCGTGTAAGCCGTCTGGCCTCCGCTTGCACGTTTGAGAAGGGCTTGCATCAGAGGGGGCGTGGGGATTCCAGCGCGAAGCCACATTCTGTCTCCCGCCTCCCATCTACTGTCCTCCGTCCGTTTCCTTGCGGGAAAAGACTGAATCCCAGAGAGGTCCTGGATTGGATGAGAACAACCTAGTGTTAATCGACGTAGGTACGAAATCTGGGTGTTGGCTTCAGCGGGTTCCGCATCTGATTTTGAGTCGCACAGAATTCTCGAGGCAGAATCTGCGCGACAAACGCGGCTTAGAAGAGAAGATCCTCAGTAGCCACAGCTGCTTACAACTGTTCTGCCCTTTGATGCCCAAGCAAAAGCCCACCTATCGAGCTGCTCATGGTGTGGTGCTTGGCGCGTTTTCTTGGGGTACATTGTGATACTTTCTACTCGTGCCATTCAAGGGCGGCGTCCGCTTGTGAGAACGGCGCGCGAGAGTCTCACTCGTCCCACTCTCGTCGTCCTCGGCGTCAAAATGGGCTCCGTCCGCGCCGTGAATGCGTGGCTATTTAGTGCGTCCTGCAAGTCCCGCGCCCCCCCCCCCCCGTCCTACCTCCGAATGGACATATCGCAAGCCCCGAAGGCCCGACTCTGCATACGTCCCTCCACTTTCTGACTATATCCCAATTGAGATGTATGCGGTAGTAGTACGCTCATTGCTAGTAAATGCGGCAGTATGCCCCCTTGGAATGAACCCCTTCAAGTGGAGTCTCACTCGGAGATAGAACTGCTTGATGCAAATGGCTGGACTGATCAATGGTGCTGACGAGGAGGAGCCTAGAAGGTGAGGCTAGCTGACTGATGTGACGGCTACCTAATGCTCGCCGGCCTGGGTTTAACGACTCTGTTGGCTTGGAATCAGCGTTGACAACGTCGATGTTCCTTGGTGAGCGCTGAGTAGCTCATTCTAGCATTATCTTCCCTGCATCGCAATAGAAGAACACGGACAGATCTGTGAGCAGAGGCGATCCCAGAAGAGGCTGCCAAGGTCTGGAGCAAAGAAGGTTGCCCCTGCCAAAGGTATCAAAGGGGCGCTGAGTGAATGATTGCGTGCCTTCGCAGCGGCTGTAGATTTGTTTCAAGATGCCATTCCCGTGTGGCTAGGACGGTTTGGTCGAGCGGTGCGATCGAGACGGGATCGCCTCCTCGAGGATCTCCTCTCAATGGGTGTTCAGCCTCATGCTTGCCCCCGAACGATTGATCTTGATGTGTGTTTGTATGTGACTTTTTGCTTCTTCCATGCCATTGATGTACCGCTGTCTTGCGCCGTTGTAGTGGTGGTCTGCTACGAATCCCGCGCGAAGGAATTGAGCTCGGCTGGCGAGTTGTTTTCTGTAACTTGACACGGCATAGGTACTGAAAAAGCTTGGCTCAGGTGAGGAGCACTAGCAGGCCTGCCCGAGCGCGCATCTCAATCCCGCATGCCTAACAGGCCCTAGTGCCACAGGCGCAAAGATTCGCGATCCGTCCGGGCGCCGTGGGTACGATGCAACCCTGAGACCCGTCGACCTCCCACTTCCATCACGGGGGGCCTGGCCGATGGAGTGTCGTCGCTTGCTATTTGAGGTGTAAATGAGATGGGATATGGAGCACACGGCGACCCGGAGCCAGTGAGCCCGGGATGGCATCGGTGGCTCGTAAATGAGGCGTCAGTTCTGGTGCTCCGCCAGTCATCAAGACAAGACTTGAACTGCCCCTCTGGGGGCCATCTGCGTGCTCCCCCCTGGCTGGCACATTCTTGGCCAATTTCTCCTTCGGTGGGCAGTTGACAGCCGAGTATGGGTCATTGTCAGAACCAGCATCTCTAATTTCTGGCGAGAAGCGATACCTGCGCCTGGAACGGGTCCATCTTTCAAGTCCCTGTTAATACGCAGGAGAACGGGCAGTGGATGGGCCAGGGTGACGACGATTGCTTCCCGTAATAAACGCGCCAACTGCTCAGCCTCAGAGCAATTGGAGGTAACAGGGCAATACTGTGACGCAGCAAATTGGTTTTGGTTGATCCCGGGCCGCTGGCTGGGAAGTGGCCCAGAGGAATCGTCCTGTATCTGTAGGTGACCGCCTCGAGGTCGGGATTGGCCTGGTTGCGAGGAAGGAATGCTGACTGGAGCTCATCCGAGTGAACCAGTAACCGCCGTGGTTGCTCTTGAGATCTGCCTGTGGTCAGTGTGTAGCGTTGCCAGCACACAGTTGACGGCCGGATCAATGTCAACGAGCAGCAGCAGTGGCTGGGCTGTGCAACAAGACATCCATGCCTTTTCTTCCTTTGGTGCTTCTCTCTTCCCAATTGCCCACCACATATTATCCATGTTCTTCCATCAAATTTCGGCGAAAGCGGTAGACGAAAAGGGAGAAGAAGCCTGGCGGGGGAAGAAACGAAAGTTGTGCTATGCAGACACGGGAAGCCGGTAGTCAGTACACGTGAGCGCTAATACGCAGTGCGCAGACGGGCGTGACGCATCCGGAAGCAGAATAGACGGCGGATAATGGGTGCTGAGTGTTCCGTGTTAGTTGACGCATGAGAAGAATGGCAAGCAGACTCTGGAGTGCTTGAAGACGAGGTGAATTGGGTTGGGTCGGATCCGGGTCGATTGGACGACTGGATGTGGTCGCAAACCTTGAAGGAGAGTGTATTTTGCTTCATTAGGTTGTTGATGCAGCATTGCAGACAGAAAAAGAAGAGACAACCGTTCGCTGGGAAGGGCGAGTACAAGGATGACCATGGCATTCGTTGTCGTTCTTTACCAGATATTGCCGATCAGGTAAGCATCTTCATTCGGCGTGATTAGACAGGAAGGAGCTGTGGCTGGCGGGAGGCAGAAATGGCGAGGTACGTATTCCGTACAGGTACCTAGGAACCCGCTAGCTGGAAGCTGCTGACATGATCAACATGAACCATGTTCCTCTCCAGCATATTGACACGGACGGGTACTTCTGGTCCGCGCCCAGGGCTTAGGTATCATCGTGACGAAGGAACTAGAATTACCAGACGGGAATTACCAGACCTGGGCTCACTGGTTTGACAGTAGGGCGTTGCATTACAAGCCCAAGGCCCTATGGCCACGGCCCGTTCTGTGCCCGTTTGGCCTGGTCTCGTTGTGTTCGTGCTTGTTGGTCATGAACCCCAACCATCATCAAATGGCCAATTGATTAAGCTATGCGTACCTACCTGGGTAGACGTAAAATGGGGGGCAATGTGTCGTGACGAGTGAGGTCAGATAGGTATGTAGACACTGCAGTTCTCATCTCCTCACTGGCTGGCTGTGTTTGGACGAAGAGTATGGAAGCATGGGGTGAAGAGGTCCCGGACGACTGCTTGCTTTCCTTTTTCTCTTTCTCATGCACGTCTCGCAGTTGCAGACACATCAACTAGGAGTCTTACGACGAAGTTACGAGGTAAGGTACGGTGTACTGCGGTGGTTGTCAAGTTGTCCACATGGCCTTGTATACGTACGGATACTTTGTACGGATACCTGATAGCGGTCGGGTATTATATCAAAAACGGGGTGGGAAAAAGAGGGCGAGGCCTGGCACTCAGTGGGCACATTGCAGGGTAGGTTGCATGGGAAATGGAAATCTCTAGAGCCGATGCTAATGCAT